GTAAATAAGCATTTGCAACAATATTTGGATTATTTTTAATAGCCTCTTAAAAACACTAGGCAGTAAATTTACTTATCCTGACTTTCCCTATTTATCATCACATGAATTTCAATCCAAGATTGTGACAGACTATATAAATGTAATGTTTTGGTACACATAATCACATACACTCCCTCCTGATCTCACACAAAATTTCTTAGTCTCTGTGGGTTGGTCCAAAAAAACATCTGGGAGAAAGATCTGCCTTCTCCAGAGTCTGAAGAGAATGAGTCTTTCCTTTCCCCTTCAACTACCTCAAGAGCCTCCACAGCAAAACAGCCTGATCATCTTTGCAGCTGACAGCAATTCCAGTTTCAGAGCCAGCAGCTGGACAGTGCCCTCGATTTCTTAAGACAAGCAATGGGAAGCCTCCATCCAGATACTGGAGACAGTCAGTGGCTGATCAAGAAATATATGTGGTGGAAAGGCTACATCCCAACTCCCTGGTTTAAACTTCTTTGTCATCTGGACTCCAGTGGGAGGTGGTGAATGTGAGGAACCTGGAGGACTGCTCGCCCTTAATGGAAATCCTCTGACCAGCCTCAGAGAGAGGTAGTGAGTGTATCCAGTAAGTGCCACATTTCTCTTGTGGATGATTCTGCTTTTGAAATGTGCCCTGCATGTGTGCTTCTCTCCCTTGCTTTTGACCTAAACACGGTCCAAAGAGGCACCCAAATCCAGCTCAAAGTTACTATGCCACCAGATTATTTTCCGGGCCTGCTGCATCCCAGTAACAACACCATGAACAGCATCTCCATCTGTACTGGAAAAAGCAGACAACAGGTGCCATCTGCCAGTTCTAGATCAAATTAAGGTGGTGATGTGTGGGAAGGCTGTTTTTTTCTGCCTCCCCTCCTTCCCCTACTGATTATAGCTGTGGGGGCAGGGGTGCCTTCACAGAAGGCCAGTGGATAAGGTGGAGTATTGGTACTGAGTCCTGTTCTCAAAGATGGAGGCATTTCTTGGATGAGGACTTAAAGCTTGAGCCCTGGGTGCTGGACTCCATGTGAATCTTGATAATATGAAGGCTTTCTCCTGAGAGCACTGAGGTTAGCCCGTCTGGGAGAGAAGAAGATCCTTGGAGTGCCAGGGAGTTGTGGGCAGTACAGAGTTTGGCAAGGGAAGATGTTGGCCACTAGTAGCACAGAGTTCATCCAGGTCCTTTCCAAAGGAATACAAGTGTTGTTTCTGTTGTACAAAGGAGGAAACTAAGGCACACAGTGGGACAAGAATTGCCCACCATCATATTCATTTGGGAGCAACCAGTCTCCTAGCCCTGTGCTAAATTCCCTGGACCTTGGCTCCACCTCTGGATGGAAGTTGCTGGTACCACTAGATCATAGCTGAGGGATTAAAGACAAACTCTTGGGAAAACCATCTGGCTTTGGCTAGTGCAGTGCTCAAGGCTTCAAATGCACTGAAAAGTCCCATCCACCACCCTTCTCCCATGAATAGATAGCAGGGTTCTGTATAGCAACTGGTGAGTGTTTCTGTTGGTTTTTTGAGCACTGGGAGGAAGGGAATGGGAGAGGGAGAAAGTTGCTGCATCTTACCATTTGATGTCCTTGGGAGGAGAGGTCTTCCCCATGTAGTCTAGTGAGGGGGCTCGACACTCAGTCCTCATCTTCTGTTGCTCAAACTTTAAGAACTCTTTCTGCATTTGAGCCACTGCCCTTTCTTTCTGTCTTTGGTCCATAAACACCCCCCCTTCATTGATGAGCTTGAGGTAGGTGTTCTCATTCATCTGTGAGGGGGGAGGGACCAGGGTATGGGGCATCCAATAAGTGCTCGGAGCTGTAATCCAGCGCCACACGTGGCTGTCATATGGTACATCTGGCCTCGTGGGAAACAGTGGTGGCAGCCTCCCTATATCCAGCCAAGTGTGGTATCCCCAGAGGTGCCAGTGGCTGGCATCTTTCCAGGAGGAGCGCAGTTTCTGATGAACCTTAATCTTGGTGTCTGTGCAGGGTGGTCTTGCAGTTGCCAGTCTGTGAAAAGGCCTTGGGGAAAACCCAGGCCATGAGACGTGCTTGTCTTTACACAGAAACTCTCTCTCTGCCCAAGTGTTCATCTCTAAAAGGATCCCAGAAATGGCCTAGCAGGAAAGAAATGAAAGGAAAATATTCTTCGAAACATAGAGAACCTCTGGAGGTCCCTTCCAGTCCTGCTTATCTAGTCCCACCCCTTGCCTGAGGCAGGATCAACCCTATCCAAACCGTTCTATACAAATCTATAATCTAAACTCTCTTCATAAAACTACCATCAACCCTGGCAACGCAAGACATTAATACCCTAACCTACCGGAGGTAAAGCAGGGGAACCATGGCAGCCAACGTCCTGCTTCTACGGAAGGTTGTTGATATATGCTTAAGAGATCCCAGGTAGAGGGTAACACCCTGCTGCTACAGGAGAAAGCACCACCCCCCCCAGCAGTCCATACTAATCTGACCCTGGGCTAAATATGCTGACCCCAAATATGGTGATTAGTCTGACCCCAAGTGAAGGAGCCGAACCGTCTAGCCAGGAACCTCCAGCTTTTGTCCCAGCAGGAGTGTTGACACATCCCAGTCAAAATTTCCAGCCTTGGCTGCAGCCAACACCCAGTGCCTCTGAGAGACTTAAAAACACCCAGACACATGTAGAAGAAAGCAGGGGAGGGGACAGCCACCAAAGCTCAGAAGCGGCGGGCTTTAAACTAGGCTCGTCGGGGGAAGGGGAAG